CTACAATGTTATATCATAACACAACCATTGTGTTATCATAATCATCTATGAAATCACAAAAACAACTGTGATTTCATAAACCTGACTGTAATGTCACAATTTTGATGTCATAAGCCACCATTTTGATATAAAAAGTGATTCTTATGTCTTAAAACCATTGTGATATCATAAGCCTTCTATTGTGATTTCAAAAATTAACCAATGTGTTTTCATAAGCAATTGTGATGTCATAAAACAATTTGCTTGCCATAAATGTATCAAAGACATGTCATAAAACTACCATAGTGATGTCATAATCTACCATTGCATAATCAATTTTATTTTGAACCATTATTATGATGGCATAAGCCAACTACTATGATGTCATAAGTAATCTATCATAGATATTATTTTCATATAATCAATTCTGATGTCATAAAATGAATTTTGTAGTGAAAATCATTGTGATGTCATAAAGTTACCATTGTTATAATCAATGGTGATTGTTGCAAGAAACCCCATGATGTCATAATCAACTGGGGTGTGATAAACCATTATGATATAATAAGTCTACCATTGTGATAACATAGTCAATTGTGAGGTCATAACACAGCATAGTCAATTTGAGATCATAAACTTAGCATTGTGACTTAATTATCAATTTTTATGTCACAGAATACCATTATGGTATTATCATAAATTGTGATGTCACAGAAATCACTGTGATGTAACAACCCCATATTTTAATGACATAAAAACCAGCATGTTGTTGTAAAGTTACCATTGTTATGTCACAATTAATTGGAATTTTGTAAAACATGTGATGTTATAATTAGTGGAGATGTAATAATCCACCATTGTGATATAATAAAGCTACCATTTAATGTCATAATCAACTGTGAAATTATAAAACAATTATAACATCATAAGTTGAACTTTGTGACATCATAATCAAGCTGTCATAAATGACCCTTATTATATTATAATCAATTGTGATGTAAAATCTATGGGGATGTCATAAACCAATATTTTACATAAAAGTCAATGGTGATGTTCTAAAGCTACCATTATTTTGTCATAATCAATAGCAATGTCACAAAAATCATATGTCATAATCAACTGAAATGTTCAAACCACGATTGAACGATTGTGAGCCCAACAATCATTGTGATGTAAACCTACCATTTTGGAATACTAATGAGTTGTTATGTCATGAACCACTATTGTGATATCATAGTCTATTTTTATGTCATAAACCAATACTGTGATGCTATAAAACAGCCATTGTGATTTTGTAAACCAACTGCTCTGATGTCGTTATCAATTATGAAGAGATGAAATCATTGTGAGATTACAAATCTACTGATGTGGTGTTATTATCAATTGTGATATCATGAGCATTGTGATGCCATGAATGTTGTGATATCATAAACCATCATAGTGTTATAATGATGATGTTACAAAAATAATTCTGTCATATAGCAATATCCTGATGCTATGAATGTACCATTTTTGTTATAAAGCAAGCATTGTGTTGCCATAATTTTGAAGTTCTAAAATGATTTTTTACATCATAAACATATAATCATATGTGGTGTTATAATATACCACCATGTTGTCATAAATCCAGATTGTACCCTCATACTCAATTTTGAAGTCATAAAATAATTGTGATTAGCCAGCCACTGTGTTGTTATAATCATTAGTGATGTCATAAGCTTCCATTGTGATGTCATAAAACTGTGATATCATAGCACCTGCTATCAACATTATATAATAATCCATGTTGATGGCATAAAAACTTGTTAGGATGTAATCCACAGGGATTGATAAACCACCATTGTTGTATCATAAACCTACAATTGTGATGTAATCATCACTTTTGGAGTCACAAAAACCACTGTGATGTCTTAACTAATTGATGTCATAAATAATCATTGTAATATCTTAATAAATTATAATGTCATAAAACCATTATGATGTCATAAACCTACTGTTCTGATTTCATAAATTATGGTGTCATAAACAACTGTGATCATGTTATAATCAATTATGATATCTCAAAACTATTGTGATGTTATAAATCAATATTGTGATGACAGACAGAACAATACATTGTGTTGTCATAAATCTACCATTGTTATGCCATGATTAATTGTGAATTTGTAAAAAGTCTTGTGATGTAATCAACTGGAATTAATAATTAATAATATTAATATTAATAATCAATAAATAATATTAATTAATAAATATTATTAAATAATATTTATAAATAAATGATATAACATTTATAATATAAATGATAGCATTATAAAGCTATCATTGTGATGTTATAATCAATTGTGATGTCTTAAAAACTTTATTAGAAAGCTACTATTGTCAAGTCATAATTAATTGTGATAGCATAAAAACACTGATATTATAAAGCTACCATGTCATGTCATAATAAATCATAATGTAAAAATTTTATAATCAACTGGGATGTGATAATTCATCAATATTATATATAAAGCTAACATTTTGATATAATAATCAATTCTGATATGGTAAACCACCATTGTGATATTATAATAAGTTGTGATGTAGTGAAAAATATGGTGATATAATAAACCAATATTATTATGGAATAAACCAAAATATGTCAGATCAAATTGTGATGTTATGACCAACTGTGAAGTCATAAAAATTATTGTGATGCCATAAAACTATAATTGTGAAGATAATCAGTTGTGATGTCATAAACCACTATTATCATTTTATAAATAATTGTGATGTCTTGAAAGCATTATGATGACATATGCCAATATTGTGGTAACATACACATGAAATTGTGATTTCACAAACCAACCATTGTATTCACATTATGAATTTTTCCATCTTGACACCAAAAACTTATCATTGTGATGTCATAATCTATAGCAATATCACAAGTCACTATTGTGATATTGTTAAACTCAATTGTGATGTGAAAAGCAATTATGATGTCCTAAACTACACTGTTGTGTCATAATCCATTGTGATATTGCCAAAACCATTGTGATGTCATTATCAATTGGGATGTGAAAAACTACCATTGTGATATTATGAACCTCAGGATAATTTAATATGTTACCAGGGGAGAAATATCACATTTTGGGTAATTTAAATATGAGATTTTTTTTTATGTTTTTGACAGGCAGAGTAGACAGTGAGAGAGAGAGAGACAGAGAGAAAGGTCTTCCTTTTGCCGTTGGTTCACCCCACAATGGCCGCTGCAGCCAGCACACCGCGCTGATCCAAAGCCAGGAGCCAGGTGCTTCTCCTGGTTTCCCATGCGGGTGCAGGGCCCAAGAACCTGGGCCATCCTCCACTGCACTCCTGGGCCACAGCAGAGAGCTAGCCTGGAAGAGGAGCAACTGGGACAGAATCTGGCACCCCGACCGGGACTAGAACCCGGTGTGCCGGCACCGCAGGTAGAGGATTAGCCTAGTGAGCCGTGGCACCGGCCTAAATATGAGTTTTATAAAACACAGCAGAAGTTACATTTCAGAAAACTTGAGTGTAAGTCACATAAAATGGCATACAATTTTGAAGACTTTGGTTGTTCTGTCTCTTTCAATCAAAATCTATAGCCAATTTTTCATAGAAAGAACATTCATTGTTTACCACAACATGAAAACAGTTTTTTTCTTCTGAAGACTGTCTTATTTCAAAATGATTTCAAAATTCAAAAATTTCAAAACCATTTCAAAAATGGTTTCCAGTTGCATCCATTTCATTTTGAAAGACAAGATTTCATTCTTTTTATTGCTGAGTAATATTTTAATATTCCATAGTGTATACAAAGCACATTTTCTTTCTCCAATTATCAGATGATAGTCATCTGGATTGATTCCATACCTTAGTTATTGTGAATTGAACTGCAATAAACAAGGGGTACAGGTAACTCTTTCATATACAGATTTCATTTTGTTTGGATAAATTCCCAGGAGTGACACGACTGGAACATATGGTAGATCTATTTTCAGCTTTCTGAGGAATTGCCATTCTCTATTCCATAATGGCCTTTCAAGTTTACATTTCCACGAACAGCGGATTAGCTAATCTTTTTCTCCACATCCTCACAGATAATTATTAATTTCTAATTTCTTTCTGAGTGCCATTCTAACTGGGTTGAGGTGAAACCTTTTTGTTGTTGTTATTCTTTTCCCACTTGGCTAGTAATCCTGAACATTTTTTCATGTGTCTGTTGGCCATTTGAATTTCTTCTCTTGAAAAATACTTTTGAACATTCTTAGCTGGATTTGTTTTATTGTTGTTGAGTTTCTTGTGCTCCTTATAGGTTAGAATATTAGTCCTTTATCAGTGCAAAATTTGCAAATATTTTCTCCCATTCTGTCAGTTGCCTCTTCGCTATGTTAAATGTTTTCTTTACAGTGCAGAAGTTCTTACATTGATGTAATCCCATTTTCTCTTTTGGCTTTGGTTGGCTGTGCTTTTTGGGTCTTTTACAAGAAGACCATGCCTGTGCCAAAGTCTTGTAGAGTCTCCCCAAAGTTCTCCTCTAGTAATTTAATGGTATGAGTCATAGATTTAGATCCTTGCTGCATTTTTGTTGATTTTTGTATAAAATGTAAGGTAGATGCTTTGTTTCATACTTATTCATGTGGTGATCCAATTACTCCAGCATCATTTTTTCTTACATTTTTGTTGAATTCTTTCCTTAGCAAAGGGTGAATCTTATTATTAAAAATAAACTGAAACTATGTCATTATAAAAATTAAAAGAATGCATCAGAAAGGAAGAAGGAGTGAGGGTGGGGGCATGGGTGGAAAGGAAGTTGGGTAGGAATTATCACTTTGCTCCTGAATCTGTATATATGAAATATATGGAATTTATTCACCCTTAAATAAATAACAATTTTTTTTTAATTTTTTTAACTTTTATTTAATACATATAAATTTCCAAAGTACAACTTTTGGATTATAGTGGCTCTCCCCCCTCCATAACCTTCCTCCCACCCACAACCATCCCATTTCCCACTCCCTCTCTCATCCCATTCTTCATTAAGATTTATTTTCAATTATCTTTATATACAGAAGATCAACTTAGTATATACTAAGCAAAGATTGCAACAGATTTCACCCACACAGACACACAAAGTATATAGTACTATTTGAGTAGTAGTTTCACCATTAATTCACATAGTACAACATAAATTTTTTTAAAAATTTAAAAAAATGAATAAGCATCCATTTGCAATATAAGAAACACCTTTTGAATTATCTCCTGGATATGTTTTTTTAGAACTCAAAGTTAGATGCCTGAGAGTATTCTAGGAAGGGATTTGCCTGTGTGAACTCCTAAATTAAATAGGTAACACGTTTCTGGGTACCCTAACAGTGTAGCTTAGGCTCAAACTCACCAGCAAGTGTATTTCTGGGCTTCATGCTATTTCCATTCAGTCAGAATGCTTGAGTTGAGGCTCTGAAATCTCTGTGTATTGGACAAGCTCTGTGGGTGACTCCTAAGCACACTAAAGTTTGGAAATCACCCCCTCCCATTATATATCATCACTGATCTATATGAACTCAGAAGTAGGGTTGCCCCATTGCCAAGATGGCAGCATGATTTCAGGTTCCCTAGGGGAAAACGTGGAGTCCTTCACATAATCCCACTGCTTGATGTTCTGATGAGCAAATTTTCAAACCTGGCAATTGTCTGCTGTGGTTAAAGCTACCATTGCTTCCTTGTTTTCTTTTTTATTCTAAAGATAGTTTACTACTCATCAATCTAATGTGGAAGGGGCATGCCATGCATTATGATGTCAGAAGAGGAAGCACTGGGTTGATCAGCAGACAGTAATACTGAAGAGAATGCATGAGGACGAGCCAAAGGAAGATTTAATGTTATAGAATCACACTGTTTCCAAGTGCGGGGTGTCAAATAAATGACTAAAAATAGATTGTATTGAGCAATTTCCAGGTGTCTAGAATTTCACCTCCATTATTATGTACTTTTCCACTGAAGCAGTAAAGCCTCCCAGAGCTATTCACTCAAGGTCAGAGGAGCTGCATGGCCAGGATCTGAAAATTTGACTGCCAAGGGCAATCATTAGGCACAAGAGTCAGATGCCTGCACCCTGCATTGTAGTACATGGTTCCGGACCTGGCTCTCTTCCTGACCGCAATTTCCAGCTAATGTGAACCTAAGAAGGCAGCAGGCGATGTCTCAAATACTGGGGTCCTTGGCATCCATGTGGCAGGTCAGTCTTCACTGTTTTGGGCATGTGCGGGAGAGATCCACTGGATGGAAATGCACGCTCTCTCTCTCTCTCTCCCTTTTGAACAAAATTAAAATAAATTTTAAAAAATAGAAATTTCCGAACCTTAGAAGTCTACACTTCTTGTTTTTCAGTTTTTGATCTCTTACATTTTTATAGCACAGACTTGTTGTATTTTTTAAATAATTTGATAGATATGTATTTCACATTCCATACAAGTCAGCCACTTGAAGTATACAACACACTGGTTTGGGAAATATTGACAGGATTGCACAGCCAACACTATAGTCAATTTTGGAAGGTTTTCATCCCCCAAAAGAGAAACCTCATGCCTTTAACCACAAATTTCTTATTCATCTCTGTGATTTTCATATCCTTAAACCTTGAATCCACATCTCATGTCTACAGCTTTGTGTCTTCCAGAAGTTTCTTATGAATAGAATTATACAACATGTGATCGTTTGTGATTGGCTTCTCTCCGTGTTTTCAAGGTCTATCCCTTTTTAGCAGTTCAACCCTTTCTTTCAGGCATTGATCTTTTCCCTCCAGAATCCTTAAGTTGGAATCCTAAACCCTAGTACCTCAGAGTGTGACTTTATTAGAAATAGGATTGTTGCAGCCGGTGCCACGGCTCAATAGGCTAATCCTCCACCTGCAGCACCGGCACACTGGGTTCTAGTCCTGTTCAGGTGCCGGATTCTGTCCCAGTTGCCCCTCTTCCTGTCCAGCTCTCTGCTATGGCCCGGGAGTGCAGTGGAGGATGGCCCAAGTGCTTGGGCTCTGCACCCACCTGGGAGACCAGGAGAAGTACCTGGCTCCTGGCTTTGGATCAGCACGATGCACTGGCTGCAGCATGCCGGCCCTGGTGGCCATTGGAGGGTGAACCAACGGCAAAAGAAGACCTTTCTCTCTGTCTCTCTCTCTCACTGTCCACTCTGCCTGTCAAAAAAAAAAAAAAAAAAGAAAAAGAAAAAGAAAAAGAAATAGGATTGTTGTATATGTAATGATCTAAAACAAGATCATACTGGAGTAGAGTGAGCCCCTGACCCAATATGAAAGAGGAATTATTTTGTGTGTAAAGAACACACAGCCTGTCTCTCACACAGGAATATGCCGTCATGTGAATTCCCTAATACCTGCTGAAGTGTGATGTTTTTATGCATGAATTACATTTTCACAGTATTTTCTGCTTATACTTTTTTCCCATTTCTTCTTCCAATATCAATAAAAGGATGTTAAGCATCAAACATTGAGGTGGGGCGAGGGAGAGGAAAGAAGGAAAGCAAAAATAAAAGAAAACACAGCTTCTGAATAATTTGATTCCATATTTAGTAACTCTTTCAAAAAAGTATCTCCTCTTCCAAATAGCAAATATCTTGCCCATTTTGATACAATATAATGATTTTTCTGTCATACTAGAATGTATAAAACTAAATATGTCATTAAAAAGACACAAATATTACTTTTGTTTTTTCTTATTTTAATAGTTATTTAATGCAGAATGCCTAATGAGTTCTAAAATTTACAAGGAGGAATATTTGACTAATTTAAAGAAATGTTTTTTCTTTGAGACTGCCAATAAAACGTTAAGAAAAGCTCCACTTCATTGCACACAATGTAACTCATAGTTTAAGGATCATAGAAATCCAATACTTTCTCTGAGATTTAGTAAAGTAATTAAAAAGCTATTAATTTTATCATTGTAAATTTTTAAAAACTGTACTATAGTATAGAATTCTTACAAATTTGTTTAAAAATACTTAAAACAGAGTGACAAAGCACTGTCTTCAACTTTGATCTTAACTTATCCATGAGATCTGAAAGAAATCCTATTTTTTCACTTTAGAAACACCCTAATATATTAGAATTCCTTAGGAAATTGTGCTGTTGAGAAGTCTTACATAATGTACTGCTTTAAATGTTAATATTATGGCTAGTAGGAAAAATATCATTTTATTTAAAACACTGAAAAAAAGCCTTTAAAATATCATCACTTAAAACATTAAGAGTGGGCCAGTGGCATGCTGAGTTTAGCTGCCACCTTCAGTTCTGGCATCCCATATGGGCACTGATTCAATTCGCGGCTGATCTCCTTCCGATCCAGCTCCATGTTAATATGCCAGGGAAAACAGTAGATGATGATCGAACTCCCATGCCCCCAATGTGGGAGACCCAGAAGAAGCTCCTGTCTCCTGGTTTTAGTCTGGCCGAGATGGCCACTGTCACCACTTGAGGGAAATACAGTTATTTGTTATTAATCTCAAATAAATAGCAAACACACTAGAAAAATATTCTGAATAAAATTCAAGCAAATCATGACTAAACATACAAAGAATTTTTCCATTATAACAAAATAGCAAATACAAATTTTCCAAGTTAATTTTCCAGAAATTATAATCTTTAACTCTAGAAAGAGACAATGCATTACATTGGGATGCTAAGTTGATTTTGGGGCAGCCCTCATTTCTTAACAACTCTAGATATGTCACTTATACTTCTAGCAAATAAGTACATGGTTAAAATAGTTAAATTTGGATCTCTGTCCTTAATGTGTTGTCCAGTGTGACTTAATGCTATAACTAGTACTCAAACAGTATTTTACATTTTATGTTCTGTGTGGGTGCAAACTGATGAAATCTTTACTTAATATATACTAAATCGATCTTCTGTATATAAAGAGAATTGAAAATGAATCTTGATGTGAAGGAATGGGAGAGGGAGGGGATATGGGAGGAGTGTGGGTGGGAGGAAAGTTATGGGGGGAAAAGCCATTGTAATCCATAAACTGTACTTTGGAAAATTATATTTACTAAATAAAAGTTTAAAAAAATTTGTACATATCTTTATTTTGATGCAAGTTATGCATGTCTGCTCATGTAAAACTGTGTAACTAGAGACATTATGAGAGCTGGTGCTATCCTTAAATAACGAAAGAAAACTTGTCAAAATATAATAGTCAAGCAATAGTACTGTGACATATTTTCAAGTGTCATATTTTAGATAGAGTTGGTGCTTCTTTAATTTGTGTTTTATTCTTCTCTGACAAACTGGATGTGTTTATTTGGGCAATAAGGGGTAATGAAACTGCAATAAATGAAATTACTAAAGTAATATTAACAATGAATTTTGTAGCCGGTGCCGTGGCTCAATAGGCTAATCCTCCACCTTGCGGCACCAGCACACAGGGTTCTAGTCCTGGTTGGGGCACCGGATTCTGTCCAGGTTGCCCCTCATCCAGGCCAGCTCTCTGCTGTGGCCAGGGAGTGCAGTGGAGGATGGCCCAAGTCCTTGGGCCCTGCACCCCATGGGAGACCAGGAGAAGCACCTAGCTCCTGCCTTCAGATCAGAGTGGTGTGCCGGCCATGATGGCCATTGGAGGGTGAACCAACGGCAAAAGGAAGAGCTTTCTCTCTGTCTCTCTCTCTCTCTGTTCACTCTGCCTGTAAAAAAAAAAATCTAAAAAACAAAAAACAATGGATTTTGTTTAGGATATTCTGTATAAATGTCTCAGAGGCATTTTAAAGGGACACTGTCTAATATGATGGATTAATTTGCATTGTTTTTCATAAAATAATGAATCCTATTATTTATTTTTCATAATTATTTTACTTTTCATTTATATAAAGTGAACAATTTGTATACAATTTTAATACATATGAGTCCTTTTATATTTTAAAGATTTAGTTTATTTAGGGGTCGGCAGCATGGCTAACTTGGTTAATCCTCTGCCTGCGGCGCCAGCATCCCATATGGACACCAGTTCTAGTCCCAGTTGCTTCTCTTCTAGTCCAGCACTCTGCTGTGGCCCAGAAGGGCAGTGGAGGATGGTCCAAGTCCTTGGGCCCCTACACTCACATGGGAGACCAGGAAGAAGCACCTGGTTCCTGACTTTGGATCGGTGCAGTGCTGGCCGTAGTAGCCTTTGAGGAGTGAACCAACAGAGGGAAGACCTTTCTCTCTCTCTCTCACTGTCTGTAACTCTACCTGTCACATAAAAAAAAAGATTTAGTTTATTTGAAAGAGGAAGAGAGAGAGATCAAGAGATCCTCCATCCAATGGTCAATTTCCCAAATGGCTACAATGGCCTCATCTCAGCCAGGAGCCTATAGCACCATCAGGATCTCCCATGTGGGTGGCAGGGACCCAAGTATCTATGCTGTTTTCCACTGTTTTCCCAGCCACAGTAGCAAGAGCTAAATCAGAAGTGGAGCTGCTGCACCTTTAACTGGCGTTTGTATGGGATGCCAGCATTACAGGCTATGGCTTAATAAGTTGAGCCACAAAGCCAGACATAAACAGCAAAAATTTTCTCTAAATTGAACCTTATAACTGATTAAGAATCTGTTAGTACTCAGTCTGTCTCTTTCCTGTCACTCCTATTTCAAATAAATAAATCCCTAAATAATGAGGCAGGTGTTGTGGCAGTGTGGTGAGCCACCACCTGTGAGTCCCAGGTTCTCTACTTGCATTATACCTACCTGCCAATGTGACTGGAAAATTGGTGGAAGATGACTCAAGTACTTGGGTCCCAGTTACTGTTGTGGGTGAACTAGACCATCTAGTTCCTGCTCCTGGCTTCAGCTTGAAAGAACTCCTGCTGTTGTAGCCATTGGGAGAATGAAGTAAAGATGCATGATTGATCTCTACCTCCCTCCCTCCTTGTTATTCTACTTTTCAAATAAATAAATAGAATAAATCTTTTTAAATAAAGGTTCTGTGGAATTGGTGTTGTGGTACCGCAGGTAAAGCCACTGCTTGCCATGCCAGCATCCCATATCACAGTGCCAGTTTGAGTGCTCCACTTCTGATCCATCTTCCTGCTAATGCACCTGGGAAGGCAGAAGATGGCTCAGGTATTTGAGCTCCTGCTACCTGTGTGAGAGACCCAGAGTGAATTCCTGGCTTTCCAGTTTCTGGCTTGTTGCAGCCATTTGAGGGAGTGAATCTCTCTCTCTCTCTCTCTCTCTCTCGTGCATTTTTGTGTGCAACTCATTTCCTGTCATTCTGTTTTCCAAATAAATAAGAAATTTTCAGCTTCTATGATTGTTTAAAGCCCTGAACATTGCTTTTTTTTTCACTCTTACTACTTGTTGAACTCTGTACTAAGTGTATGGTTAATCTTCTGAGTATAAAATAAACTGAAAGTACATCATTTTAAAAATTAAGAAAGGGATTAGGAGAGAAAGGAGGAGGAGGGGTGGGAGGGATTGTAGGGTAGGGATGGTGGGAGGAGGGTGGGTGGGAGTATCACTATATTCATAAATCTGTATACATGAAATACATGATATTTATATACCTTAAATGAAAATTTTAAACAAGAATAAATATTTTGGAAAAAACTATTAGGAACTCACCTCCAAAAAAAAGATCACCATTACTTTGAAATTGAATCACTAAAAAATTATCACCACTCATAATAAACAAGATCAACACTTTCTTGATCCCTTACAAAAAATTCTCATATATATGGATTTCAATATAATCTATATCACAATATTTTCATGATAATGAGCTCAAAATTATATATATCATCTATAGAACATTGTCTAGCACATAGTAAACCAATAGGTACTAGGTGTTATTATTAGTATTGAAACAAAATACAGAAATATACTAGTCAATATGCTTGGAAACGTAAATTGACACCAAGAACTCTAATCTCAAATTGTTTACAAAAATAGTCTCATTTTTCTCACCATTGACTTTATATTGAATGAAATATTTTGATCTTACATTAAAATTAACATGCAACTTTTCAAAAACAACATTGTTATATTGAAAAAAATCAATGATCCCTCTAATTCTAAAACTCTGTGACTCCTAACTTACTGACTTCTCTTAAGCTTATAAACATAATTCACTCTAATATGACTAACATACGTGCTGCAATATATAAATATACGCTTTTCCAAGAGTCATATAATCAATGCATGCTACCTACCTTGATTCAGGTAAAGCTGCCATATTCAGTCCTAAAAATTGTAAACAAGATAGTTTAATTTCTTCAGGATTATAGCCAGCAGTAAATTCTAGTGGTAGAGTTGAAGTTTTAAGAGTAAGTGTATGGGGCTGGTGCTGTGTCATAGATGCAGTGCCGGCATCCCATATGGGCACAGGTTCAAGTTCCAGAGGCTCCACTTCTAATCCAGCTCTCTGCTATGGCCTGAGAAAGCAGTAGAAGATGGCCCAACTCCTTAGACTCCTGCACTCACATGGGAGACCTGGAAGAAACTCTTGGCTCCTGGCTTTGAATCAGTGCAGCTCTGGCCTTTACAGCCAATTGGAGAGTGAACCAGTGGTTGGAAGACCTCTCTCTCTCTCTCTGCCTCTCCTTCTCTCTTTGTGTAACTCTGACTCTCAAATAAATCAATAAATCTTTAAAAAGAAGAAAGGAAAAAGTGACAGCAAAGAAATTGGCCTGACTCTTGTAAGTAGAGGTTAGAATGGCTCACATACAGAAATCTACCAACAACAGATGCTGGCAAGGATGTGGGGAAAAAGGGACACTAACCCCCTGTTGGTGGGAATGCAAGCTGGTTAAGCACTATGGAAGTCAGTCTGGAGTTTCCTCAGAAACCTGAATATAACCCTACCATACAATCCAGTCATCCCACTCCTTGGAATTTACCCAAAGGAAATTAAGTTGGCAAACAAAAAAGCTGTCTGCACCTTAATGTTTATTGCAGCTCAATTCACAATAGCTAAGACCTGGAACCAACCTAAATGCCCATCTAAAGTAGACTGGATAAAGAAATTATGGGACATGTACTCTATAGAATACTATACAGCAGTCAAAAACAACGAAATCCAGTCATTTGCCACAAAATGGAGGAATCTGGAAAACATCATGCTGAGTGAAATAAGCCAGTCCCAAAGGGACAAATATCATATGTTCTCCCTGATTGGTGAGAACTGAGCACCAAAAAGGAAACCTGTTCAAGTGAAATGGACACTTTGAGAAACAGTAACTTGATCAGCCTTTGTCCTGATTGTTGATAAAATTTTTTTTTCATTTTCAATTCTCTTTATATACAGAAGATCAGTTTAGCATACATTAAGTAAAGATTGATAAAAATCTTAATACTTTATCCCTTTTAGTATTTTTTATTCTACTTAATACTATTGGTTGAACTCTGTAATTAATACACAATTATTCTTAGGTGTTTAACTGAAAAGTGATCTCTGTTAAATATAAGAGTGGGAATAAGAGAGGGAGGAGATGTACAATTTGGGACATGCTCAATCGGACTTGCCCCAAATGGTAGAGTTAGAAATGTGCTAGGGGATTCCAATTCAATCCAATCAAGGTGGCATGTACCAATGCCATCTCACTAGTCCAAGCGATCAATTTCTATTCACAATTGATCATAATGATAGGATGAAGAGTCAAAGGGATCACCTAACAAGACTAGTGTCTGCAAATACTAACTGATAGGATCAAAAAGATTGAGAACGATCCAACATGGGAAGCAGGATACACAGCAGACTCATAGAATGGCAGATGTCCTAAACAGCACTCTGGCCTCAGAATCAGTCCTTAAGGCATTCCGATCTGGCTGAAGAGCCCATGAGAGTATTTTAGGCATGGAAAGCCAAGACACTCTGGAAAAAAAAAAAAAAAAAAACCTATATGAAAGATTTTTGTGAGTGAGATCCCAGTGGAAAGAACAGGTCATCAAAGGAGGAGGTACCTTTCTCTGAAGGGAGGAGAGAACTTCCACTTTGACTATGACCTTGTCTAAGTAAGATCAGAGTTGGCGAACTCAAAAGGCTCCATAGCTTTGGCAACTCATGACAAGAGCCTAGGGTGATTACTGATGCCATACGCAAGAGTGTCAATTTGTTAAGGCAACAACAGGAGTCACTGTGCACTTACTCCTCATGTAGGATCTCTGTCTTAAATGTGCTGTACATTGTGATTTAATGCTATAACTAGTACTCAAACAGTATTTTACACTTTCTGTTTCTGGGTGGGTGCAAACTGATGAAATCTTTACTTAATATATGCTAAATTGATCTTTTGTATTTAAAGAGAATTGAAAATGAATCTTGATGTGAATGGAAAGGGAGAGGGAGTAGGAGAGGAGAGGGTTGCAGGTGGGAGGGAAGTTATGGGGGGGTGAAGCCATTGTAATCCATCAGCTGTACTTTGAAATTTATATTCATTAAATAAAAGTTAAAAAAAGAAAAACAAATAGGTAAGCAACATAAAATTTCAAGCAGGGTATCAGCCATCCAAATTACTGAAGGAGACAAATTATACTTCCTGAAGAAAAATGCTGAAAACAAAGGTTGCCAATATGTATACTGCATGTTCTGTCCTTTAATATATTTTTAACTATTTTATTTATTTATTTATTTATTTATTTGACAGGTAGAGTTACAGACAGTGAGAGAGAGACAGAGAGAAAGATCTTCCTTCCATTGGTTCACTCCCCAAATGGCCACAATGGCTGGAACTGCGCTGATCAAAGCCAGGAGCCAGGAGCTTCTTCCTGGTCTCCGATGTGGGTACAGGGGCCCAAGCACTTGGGCCATCTTCCACTGCCTTCCCAGGCCACAGCAGAGGGCTGGACTGGAAGAGGAACAACCGGGACTAGAACCGATGCCCATATGGGATGCCAGTGCCGTAGGCAGCGGATTAATCTAGTGCACCACGGGGCCTGCCCCTTTAATATATTTTCTTGCATAAAAAGAGATCAAGGCTATTGCTTTCTTTTGATAACTAAAGAGATGCACAGTGCTGAAGAAAAGTGGCATATAGGACACCAGAGTTGACACAAAATCCCAGAAAACACAAATGACAAAAATTTATGAACTTCCTTCATGTTTCCTGAAATAGCAATGAATTAGGGCAATATAAAATTAGAAAATAAAAAAAAGTTGGGCCATTTTCTACTGCTTTCCCGGGCCATAGCAGAGAGCTGGATCAAAAGAGGAGCAGCCAGGACTAGAACTGGCACCCATATAGGATGCTGGTGCTTCAGGCCTGGGAGTCAACTGGCTGCACCACAGCACCAGCCCAGAAGGACCCAGCTCTTACTTCTGACTTCTGCTGAGGCTCTGCTGGAGAATTGAAAGCTAATGCAGAGTTGTAAACTACCTGCTTGTTTCCAGAACACAGAAAATCTGTAGGCAAAAACTAGGCAATTCACAGTTTCCAGATACTTAAAGAAATTAATTTCAAATTATTAGCTCATAACTGAACTAACCAAGCAGAAGCATTATGGACACACTTTATGAAGAATAAAGAATTAGTTCAGAAAAGTGGTTAACCAAACTGTAACAACAACCACAATAGCAACAAAACCCTAGGGATGGGGGAGAATCTGACTTCCCATTTTACTTACCATTGTTATATTATTTAATGTCTGGTATTGAACAGAAGTATTATAAAAGATGCAGAAATATAATGTAGATATAAGAATGCCCCCTGCACAAGAAAGTGACAGTCAACAGAAGCTATCCCTGAGGAAGTCAAGAAGCTAAAGTTACTAGACAAATCAGTTATTTTAAATATATTCAAAGAACTAAAGAAATCTGTGTCTTCAAATTAATAATAAAGCATGATGTTAACGTTTCCATGTTTTCCAGAATATCAATGAAAAGATGCAAACTAAAGAACAATTGGCATTATCCAATCTAAAGAATAAAATAAAAGAATAAAGACAAATGAACAAAGCATAGATCTGTGGGACATCATCAAGCATACCAAGATACAAATGAGCATTCCATAAGAAAAAAGGAGAGAAAGAAGTAGAAAGAATGTTTGAAGGAGTAATGGCTAAAAATCTCCCAAATTTGATGAAAAACATAAATCTAAACATCCAAGAAACAAAACAGCCTGCAAGTGAGATAAAGTCAAAGAGATCCACATTTAGAAAAAATTTAATCAAACTGCTAAAATATGAGAAAAATCTTGAAAGCACAAAGACAATACTGACTCTAATAAAATATGAGCTGGTTTTTCATTTCAAACCATGGAGGCCAGAAAGCAATAGATAGCATATTCATCATAGTTAAAGGAAAAGACAGTCAACCAAGAATTCTACATCCAGCAAGATTATCCTGTAAGAATGTAGAAATTGACATAGTTTTATATTTTATTTTATTAAAACAAATTTCATGTATTTCATATATACAGTTTTGGAATGTAGTGACAATTCCCACCCTACTCCCCATCCGGCCCACATTCTCACCCATTCTTCTTCTTCCTCTCCTAATTCTTCTCTCAGTTCTAATAATGATCTACTTTTAGTTTACTTTATATTCATAAGTTAACCCTGCACTAAGTAAAGAGTTCAATAACTAGTAAGAAGAAAAAAAAAGGAAATAACACTGTTTCTCACCGGTAGAGACAAGGGCTTTAGATGATCATTCTTATCTTTAACAGCCTGAGAAAATTTGTCATTAATAAACTAAATAAAAACACTAGTGAACAATATTACATAGACAAGCAGTATCAGTGTGTTTTTTCACTATAACTCCTCTTTTTCCAGCTGCATAAAAGATAACAAATCTGGAGCTGGCATTGTGGTGTAGCAGATAAAGCCACCAACTGCAGTGTCAGCATCCTATATGGGTGCCAGTTTGAGTCCTGGCTGCTCCTCCTGAGCCAGGTCTCTGCTATGGTCTGGGAAATCAGTAGAAGATGGCTCAAGTCCTTGGGTCCCTGAACCCACATGAGAGACCTGGAAGAAGCTCCTTGCTCCTGGCTTCAGAATGGCTCAGCTCCAGCCATTGTAACTATCTGGGGATTGAACCATCGGATGGGAGACCTCTCTCTCTCTGCCTCTGCCTCTTTGTAACGCCTTCAAATAAATAAATAAATCTTAAGAAAATAAGAAATCTGCTTTTGTACACTTGATGAATAAGCATCAGTTTTAACAAACCCTTCAAAAACAAGCTGAGGAACACTTTTCACTAAAACAATGAGGCTGACATAATCTTTATATAAAAACCAAAGCTATCGAGTAAAATTAAAACAATATCACTTATTTTTATAGATAAAGATTCTCCACAAAAATTTTAGCAAACATAATTAAGTAACGTCCAAAAAGGAATTATATATTATATATTAAATTGTACATATATGTATACAATGTACATAAATATATATATATATACACACACACACACATATAATCCAAATGAAACATCTTGGAATTTAAGGATTATTCAACATAGGAAAATCAGCCAATGTAATACATAAAAACAGAAAAAAGAACAAAAATAACCCATGATCATCTCAAAAGACATAGAAAATTGTTAGACAAAATCCCACACTGTTGCATGATAAGAGCACTCAAACTAGGAAAAGCATCTTCCTCAAAATAACACACAGTAGTAAAAGTGACTACATTTTAAAGGATTACTCTGTTGAATTACATTGGCTTAAATATGTTTGTTTTCTCTACTGCATTGCTAGTTCTTGAAAACAGATGAAGGTTTTTCCAATTTTTATCCCCAATATAGAATACACAGTAATACATCAATGACTAAAGGCATCTGATAACTAAAACATGGCATTCTGCCTAACAAAGTATATAAGCCCTTTTGGCATAAAGTGTGGTTTAATTCTTACTATAATCTCTTCCACTTCTGATATGTTGTCACATGGGGGAATATAGGCAATAATAAACTTAAGAAGATTAATCATCAAAAATTCCTTTTCAATTCACTCATCCCAACTATAAAAGAAATGGGAAATAAAGCTGCTAAATCTAATCTGAATCATTACATGCAATCTTAAAGAGTTAATTTTCACATGAGTAATAAAACCTCTGCCAGTTGCTTTACTATTAGTGAATGTTCCTATTGTCTATTCCATTCAAGCCTCTACTTACAGATTATTTTTGGTAAAGTAAAAATTAAGTTACTTTTTTATCATGAATCTATTACATATAAAATAGATAAACTTTACTGTTATTAATACATTTAATCACCACCTCTTCATCAGTATAATGTTAGTCTAAAATAAATTTTAAGATACCTGAATGAACTGAGATTCCAGAGCTCCAAAACTGGAAGCTTAAGTGAGAAAAAATAAAGTAAAAGATTGAGCAATAAAATATTATTGCATTCTAATTTAAGTATTGATATGAAAAATGTTGAATAGGAAATCATATCAAGTACAAAGGAAGTAAAAATTTATTAAATTACAGTAAAATGAGATATATTTATGTTTAAAACATATCATGAAAAAGGAACAAGGATAAACACACTGGCATTTCTAATACATTTCTAAACAATAATGGAAAAAATTGTAGTTTTTTTGCAATAATTTTTACTTCTAGGTGCTAGTGCTATGTCATAATAGGCTGAACCTCCATCTGTGATGCCAGCATTCAATATAGGTGCCAGTTCATGTCCTGGCTGCTCCTCTTCTGATCCAGCTCTTTGTTTATTTCCTGGGATACCAGTGGACAATGGCCCAAGGGCTTGGTTCCTTGTACCTGCATGGGAGACCCAGAAGAAGTTCCTGGCTCCTGGCTTCAGATTTGCTCAGCTCTGACCTTTGGAGTAATTTGGGGACTGAACCAGTGCATGGAAGTCCTTTCTCTTGGTCTGTTTCTCTCTCTGTCTGCAACTCTACCTCTCAACTAAACAAACAAATAAATAAATATTTTAAAAAAGAATATTAAGTTCTAAATGTTGGTACTCTCCAGCAGGCTTAATCAGAAAGCTCAATGCAAATGAAAAACTGAGCTGAACTATCACATTCTAATTTAACAAAAATATAAAATGTAGTTACCAGTCCAAATGCTTTCTGTATAAATCTTCCCTCAATCCATGACATTCTCATCATACTATGAAAACATTTTGAAAGAAAAAAGTTCAGTCCAATAAGAATTGTAGAACAATAATAAAACAAATAAAACAAACAAATAAAAAGCTAACTTAACCTAGCAAATCTAGCACAAAAAACTCATTTATTAAAAGGAAATTTCTTTCCAACCACGGATGTTATGGTCACATCACACAAAAATGAACTACAAAAAAATGTATAGGTAAAACAAGAACATTTTCTATAGATATCTAGGAGACAAGAAAATTTATTATACTGTTTGCCTTGAACAGACATTTTTCTCAGGTTCTACACTATCTTTGTTGAAGTCTTATATATACATATAAATAAAGTTCTTCATCTAATTATTACTCAAACAAAATAGTGAGAGTCATATAACCAGGATAATATCTGAAAAGGGAACTGAAAACAGACAAACACTCAAAAAAAACTGTCCTCTCTTTTCCCTTCATTATTCCACATAATGTTTTTTTTTAATATATTCTTTTACTTACTTGAGAGGTAGATACAGACAGAGAGAGGGAGAAAAACAGAGATAGAGGTCTTTCTTCTGCTGGATCACTCTCCAAATGGCCACAATGGCCAGAGCAGGTCTCCCAAGCAGGTGCAGGGTTCCAAGCACTTGGGTCATCTTCTACTGCTTTCGTAGCTGGGACTCGAAAAAGCACCAATATGGGATGCCAGCATAAAAGGCGGAGGATTAACCTACTGCACCATAGCACTGGCCCCAGATCCCAGGTAATATTAATAATGTATCAGTAAATAGCAATCACCTTTAAAGGTCTTTTGTTGAACAACTCTTCTGTGCCAAATGCAGTCAAGACACCTCCACAATTTCATTTTTCCTATCATTGTTCATATACAAAATTACAGATATTTATTTATTTATTAAAGACCTATTTTATTTATTTGAAAGACAGAATTACAGAGAGAAGTAGAGACAGAGAGAAAGGTCTTCCATCCACTGGTTCACTCCCCAGATGGCCACAATGGCTGAGCTTCACTGATCTGAAGCCAGGAGCCAGGAGCTTCTTCTGGGTCTCCTATGCAGGTACAGGGGCCCAAGGACTTGAGCCATCTTCTACTGCTATCCCAGGCCATCGCAGAGAGCTGGATCAGATGAGGAGCAGCTGGGACTAGAACCGGCGCTCATATGGGATGCCAGGGCTTCAGACCAGGGTGTTAACCTGCTGAGCCACAGCACTGGCCCCCAAAATTACAGATATTTAAACACAAAATTTTAGTATCAAACATATTTACAATAATATGCCTATTATTGAGAAAGATTTATACATTTCTCATATTCATGTGCCAGAAAAGAAATATTTGTTTCTCAAGATTTGCATATATTTATAAATATATGCCTATGATGACACAGCCATCTCACGCCTTGGAACTTACTCAAAGAAAATGAAATCAGCATATGAAAGATTTATCTGTACCTTCATGTTTAATGGAGTTCAATTCATAATAGCTAAAACATAGAACCAACCCAGATGTCTGTCAACTGAAGACTGCATAAAGAAATTATGGTATATGTACTATCATTAGTATAAAGTGGATGCAAGTGGAAATCATTATACTTAATGAAGTAATCCACTCCCCAAAAGACAAACATCATATGTTCTCCCTGGTCTGTGGTAACTAATAGAGTACCTGAAAGGTAGTCTGTAAAAGTGAAATTGTCACACTGAGATAGAATGCTTTTGAACAGCCCCTGTCTCAACTGTTGAGTGACAGTTGTTTTTGTTTGTTTGTTTGTTTTGACAGGCAGAGTGGACAGTGAGAGAGAGACAGAGAGAAAGGTCTTCCTTTGCCATTGGTTCACCCTCCAATGGCCGGCGCAGCCAGTGCACTGCAGGTGGCGCACCGCGCTGATCGGATGGCAGGAGCCAGGTGCTTCTCCTGGTCTCCCATGGGGTGCAGGGCCCAAGCACTTGGGCCATCCTCCACTGTACTCCCTGGCCACAGCAGAGAGCTGGCCTGGAAGAGAGGCAACCGGGACAGAATTCGGCACCCCTACTGGGACTAGAACCCGGGGTGCCGGCACTGCAAGGAGGAGGATTAGCCTAGTGAGCCCCGGCGCTGGCCTGAGGGAATGGCTGGAGGAAGAAGGATGGGAGTGTGAGCAGTAGGGAGGGTAGGGTGGAAAGAATCCATATTTCCTAAATATATATTTATGAAATACATGATTTTTATGCCTTAAATAAAATGTTTCTAGGTAAAAAAAAAGAATAACAGCAAAAAGTAATCTTTGGTATAAATAATAGATATCATTGAGATGGTAATGAATCACCACATATAAATCAAATAAGAAATGTCATACAGAATTGGTGTTTATATTTGTTGGTATTTATTTTTTAATCATGGAAAGTCTCCAAGGCAAATTTGTTTTAATTCATAGTTGCTCATATTGGCAGCAGTAATTCACTCCTTGTAGTCTTCAGTTTTAACCAATAAATATTTTCTTCCTGGCAACATTTAATAATAAAGGATCTTCAATAACCCATTATGTACATGTGTTTAAGTAATGACTTAAATATAGTGAACTCTGGAGAAATCTGCTATCTGACATTGAAAATTTAGTGCTCTGACTTGCTGACAACTTGGTTTCTAGAAGTTACCTATGGGATCAGTGCTGTGGCATAGTGGGTAAAGCCACCACCTGCAGTGTTGCCATTCCATATAGGCACCGTTGCGAGTCCCTGCTGCTCCACTTCTGATCCAGTTCTCTTTTATTGCCTTAAAAAGCAGCAGAAGATGGCCCATGTAATGGATAAAGGCACCACCTGCAGTGCCTGCATCCTATATGGGTGCTGGTTTGAGTACCGGTTGCTCCACTTCCAATCCAAGTCTCTGCTATGGCCTGGGGAAGCAGAAGATGGCCCAAGTCCTTGGGCCCCTGCACTCACATGGGAGACCCAGAAGCTCCTGGCTCCTGACTTCAGATCAGCACAGCTCTAGCCATTGCAGCCAACTGGGGAGTGAACCAGCAGATGGAAGACCTCTCCCTTTATCCTGGCCTTCCTTCTCTTTGTGTATCTCTGACTTTCAAATAAATAAATGAATCTTTAAAAATTGAGATGGCCCAAGTGTTTGGGCCCCTACATACATGTGGGAGACATGGAAGAAGCTCCTGGTTTCAGATCAGCCCAGTTCTGTCCTTTGTGGACATTTGGGGAATGAACCAGTGGATGAACGACCTTTCTCTCTGTTGCTCCCTCTATCTTTCTGTAACTCTACTTCTCAAACAAATAAGTAAAATCTTTTAAAATAGATGTTGGAAATTGTATATTATACCCACAAGAATGATACTGGAGCTTGTCTCTCACTTTTGAGTTATACACAAAAGAACAGGAAGCAAAAAGAAACCTAGACAAATGGGATTTCATCAAACTAAAGAGCTTCTGTACAGCAATGAAAAAATAAAGTGAAAAAGAACCTACATAATGGCTGAAAATATTTACAAACCTGTCACCTGAGAATGACCTAACAATCAAATACGTAACTCAATAGCAAAGTCACAAATCATTCTATTAAATTTGAAGAGTAGACATACTCAGAAATTATTACAAGGGAGACAGACTAATGACCAAGTACATACAAAAATATTCAATTTCACTAATCATAAGAGAAAAGGAAATCAAAATTATAATGAGATACCACCTTGTTCCAATTATACTGACTTACCAGGATGACAAAAGATAATAAATGCTCAAATAACGGGGAAGAAATGAAACACTCGCACATTTCAGTTGAAATGTAAATTAGTAAATCCATTGTGGCAAAGAGAATATCAATTCCTCAAGAAGAAAAAGTGAAACTATAGAAAGCAGTGCTACTCCTGGATAATAGCTACAGGAAATTCAATCAATATAACTTCATAATACCCAAGAAATGAAAACAAATTAACTGCTTATCAAATGGAAAATGGTAAAGAAAATGAGGTACACACGCACAATGGAAAATTATTCAATGAAATAGAGTATTTTTATTTATTTTTTTAAGAATTAAAAATTTCATAAGTACTACTTTAGGAATACAGTTATTATTCCCACCATATACACCCTCCCACCCACACTCCTATCCCTACACCTCCTCCTTGCTCTCTCCTTGCTAGTCCCATTCTCCATTAAGATTCAGTTTCAACTATGTACACGGAAGACTAACTCTATACTAAGTAAAGATTTCAACAATTTGCACATGCACAAACTGTTTGAGAACTAATTTTACAGTTAATTCTCAATGTAACTCATTGAGGCCAGAGGTCCTGAATGGGAAGTTAGTGCACAGTGACTCCTGTTAATTTAACAGTTACCACTCATATACGATGTTAGTGACCACAGGTGGCACTTGACATGAACTGCCTAGGCTAAGGAAACCTTTTGAATCAACAAACCCCACTAGCATTTGGACAAGGCCATAAACAAAGTGAAAATTCTCTCGCCCACTAGGGAGAAGTATATCTTTCTTTGACGGCCATGACTTTTCACTAGGACTCACTCACAGAGATCTTTGCAATGTCTTCACTTTAATTGCCTGAAAGGCTCTCACAAGCTTTTTTTTTTACCAGATCATTTTTAATGTGTCTGTTAGCCATTTGGATTTCAAAATTTTGAAAAATATCTGTTTAAGTCCTTTGCCTGTTTTAATTATTTTGCCTGTTTGTTTTGTTGTTGTGGAGTTTCCTGACCTCTTGGTAGATTCTGGTCATTAATCCTTTATCAGTTGCACAGTTTGCAGATAATTTCTCCCATTCTGTTGGTTGTCTCTTCACTTTCCTGAGTGTTTCTTTTGCCGTACAGAAACTTCTCGATTTGATGTAAGCCCATTTGTTAATTTTGGCTTTGACTGCCTGCACCTCTGGATTCTTTCCAAGAACTCTTTGCCTGTGCCAATATCTTGCAGTGTTTCCCCCAATGTTCTCTAATAATTTGATGGTGTCAGTCATATATTTGGATTTTTAATCCATGTTGTTAAGGCTTTCCACTGCATTTTTATTTGTTCTATTGAATTCTTAATTTCATTTTGATTTCTCTTTAAGTTGTAAAGTTGTGGAAATCCATGCTCTCCACAAAGGTCCACCATGTCCCTCTAATCTACGTACAGTTTCCTCTGTCATTTTCTCCCTAACTCTTCTTTGTGACTGCTCTCTCTCTGCTTTTTATAAAAATTTATTTCATTTCTTCTATGGATTTCAGTAGTTGTGCATTTCCTTCTGATTACTTCTATGTAATCTTATGATCAATTTTTTGAATTCCATTTCTTGCATTTCCTCCATCTCATAATCTTCATAATTTAGTATTGAGTGTTGTGTTCTTTTGGAGGTGTCATGTTGTCTTCCTTATGCTTGTTTCTTAAATGGTATGTTTGTTGTTCAGCATTTGTGGAGATACTTGTTGGTTTCTTGTTTTTCTGTTTTGGTGGCTTTTATCTTTGTGTTACTCCTCTGTATATATGTGGAATGTCTGCTTTCAATTTATATCCAGAGGTTTGTGCTGGGTGTGTCCAGAGAGCTCTGTTCAGTTCTCCAGGGTGAAGGGCTTGCCTAAGGTGACACACCTTGCTTTGGGGTTGTAAATCTCCATTTTTCTTTTAATCAGAAGAGAGGTTTATTCTGCTCAGCTGAGCTCCTCTCCTCAAAGGAGAACAGTGCCTTAACGCTAGCCCCAGTGGGTATAATATTCATCTGCTCTGTCCCAAGGACCACTCAAAGGATCTGTGCAGTCCACTGTGTTAGTTCAGATTACCCAGAAATGTCTCTCTCCAGGAGACAAAGAAGCCCTCTGCATATGGAGTCTATCACAGTGACTTCCCAAAGTCAGCCACAACAAGAGTCCTCTCATGCAACCTTAGTTTTTTTTCACAGTCCAGGCACAGAAGCCCACAGTCATGAGTCCAGCCCCTTCTTAATTCTTCCCACCAGAGTGAGGAGTCTCCACTCAGCTAGTTGCTGGTTGTGGATTTGAGCTGGTGCAAGTGTTATGTATGTCCAAAATGGTGCCTGTTCCTTTAGATTTTTACAGAATGCCAATGCAAAGTTCTCAGGAGAGAGAAACATGTACCTGTCACTCCCCCATTCGCGGAGGAACGACACTAGACCCTGAGCTGTTCTTTTTGCCTGGCTCTTCCCGGCTTAGCTGCTGGCCCCCCAACCTCCGTGGAGGGGCGGCACCCCCTGCTGCTTTCCCCCCCTTCCGCGGAGGAGCGGCACACCGCTGGCCGGCTCTCTCGGGGGGCTGCTCAGATGTTCCTCAGGTGTTCCTCAGATGTTCCTGGTGCATGTTGTCTCTCTCCTCCTTTATAGTCCTCTTCCACCAATCCCAACTCTGCTACACACACACCGAGCACTCTGCTCTCCTCCAATCAGGAGCAGGTTGAACTGGAGGCAGCTGTGTAGAAGTTGTTTGGTCTTTCTCTCAGCACCATATTGTGGGAGATCAGATGCATAGAATAAGTCTTAATTCCAGTAACTTAGTCTAGTCTCAGTTGCTCCCCACATGTACCTCCAGTTTTGTTTTTTTTGTTTTGTTTTGTTTTTTTCTCCTCTAGTGTGGCCAGTACACTATCCCCCAAGGGACTCCAAGACAGGTTCCCTCTGGGGTCTTTCTGCAGCTTTAGTGCCAGTGGCTTGGACTGCTGCATTATGGTCTCACCTCACATTCCAATGTTGGTGCATAGGCTCTTGGATGCTAAAGTCTTAAGTTGTGGAAATCCATGCTCTCCACAAAGGTCCACCATGTCCCTCTAATCTACGTAGAGTTTCCTCTGCCATTTTTCTCCCTAACTCTTCCTTGTGACTGCTCTCTCTCCGCTTTTTATAAATTATCTTCTCCTGGACCAGAGCAGTAATCTCCCTCCCTGCTCCAACATCTTGGAATTCTTCCAAGTACATTTTAATCATTTCAACAATATGGATGGAAGTGAGGATCCTTATCATTTGAGAACGATGTGAAGCCCAGAAAGACGTAAGTGGATGTTCTCATTCATCTGTGGGATCTAACAAAGTTATTCTCAGAGTCACTGAGAGTACAATGATGGTTACTAAAAACTGAGGAGAGTAGGGTTGAGAAATGAATGGGAAAAAGTTGGTTAATAGGTACTAAGTTATAGTTAGGAATAAGAAGTTCTGGTACTCTACTGCATGATACAATACAACGACTATAGATTATAATAACACATCGTACATTTTTCTAAAACAATTTAAAAGAAGGATTTTCAATGTTTTCACTATAATATGACAAATGAGTGGATGTTTACCCTGATTTGAACATTACATAATGTATATGTCAATAGAAAAACCACATTATGCCACATAAGTATATATACATTTATGTGTTAGTTAATAATTTTAGAATCATATAATCAAATTCAATACAATTTGTTTCATACTAGAACAGAACAAAGATATATATGTATGCATTTATTGTTGTGAACATTATATGTAAGTATATGAATCCATATATATGTATAAGTATATATATTTAATATCCAAAATAATGAGGAAATACTTATATAATTGTAGTTCCATTTCTGCATCTAAAGAAATGCCTGATACTCAGAATTCCCTTATTCCACTCTCCAATGTGTGTTTCCTTTTTCTTTGGAAAGCTGCTGTGCTGATAATGGCTGTTTCCTTGGTGAAATAGCCCAAACATTTCAGAGTTGAATACTTTTTGACAAGAATTGCTAAATAAGTATAGCAAGTACAAAGACCCTTGGAAGTCCATCTTAAAGACATTTTAGTTAAACGGAGATCAGGAAATATGCTGGGTTGGTAGGCTGGTCACCCCACTGCACCAATGCCACCACTGTCCTCAATGACCTATCATATAGGTTTTCTTAAGTTGTAAAATATGAAATACAGAATGCCAAACTATGAAATACAGCAAAAAGATTTCCAAAGTGGGAGTTCATATCATTGAACACCCACATCAAAATAAATATTAAGGATCTGATGTATAAGGATGAATAAAGTAGATTTAAACATTTTATAGGGCTTCTAAAATATGTCAACACACTAAAATATTAGAAATATGATAAAGGAAATCAACTGAATGAATTTCTGAGAGCTTCATTGTATATTCAATGAATGCCAAGAAATAATTTTATGGGTACTGGATAGGAAATAAATATAAGACAAAATTTATTAAGAGAAAGATATTTGACAAGAAAATTAAAATGTTGACAAATATTAATGAGTTGTAAGAAATAGATCCCAGGGGCCTGCACTGTGGTGCACTGGGTGCACTGGGTTAATCCTCTGCCTGTAGCGTGGGCATCCCATATGGGCACTGATTCTAGTTCCAGTTGCTCTTCTTCCAGTCCAGCTCTCTGCTAAGACCTGGGATAGCAGTGGAAGATGGCCCAAGTGCTTGGGCCCCTGCACCCACATGGGAGACCAGGAGGAAGCACCTGGCTCCTGGCTTCAGATCAGTGTAGCTCCGGCCATTGTGGCCATTTGGGGTGTGAACCAATGGAAGGAAGACCTTTCTTTCTGTCTTTTTCACTGTCTGTAACTCTACCTGTCAAATAAATAAATAAAATCTTCAAAAATAAACAGATTCCAGTGTAAACTAACAATCAGAACAACTTTAGTAACTTTAGTATGAAAGTGTATCATGCTTGCGCTCATAATTTGATACATGTGTAAAATATGTCACCACTATCTTTTGTTTTGTATAATCACTTTGTTGAATATTCTAATTTTAAAAATTAAGATAGTTTCACAAAGAGTAAAGAAGCAAACCAAAAATACAAAGAGAAAACAGGCAAGAAATCTATTCCATCAAAAAAAAAAAAAAGAGGAGAAAAAACATTCTAATAAAACAAGGTATAGAAAGCAATACACTTATAATCATGAATACAATAAGAAAACATGAGCTTCATTAACAGGTGTGGTGGTGCAGTGGGTTAAGCTTCTGCATGGGACACTAGCATCCTGTATAAGAGTGCTTGGTTTGAGTCCCAGAAACACCATTCCTCTGATGCACTTTCTTGTAACTGATCATGAAAGGCAGCAAACAATGCTCAAATTCTTGGGTTTCTTCCACCCACTCAGGAGAACTGAATGGAGTTTCTGAATCCTGGCATCTGCCTAGCAGATCCCTGGCTACTGCAGGTATACCAGGGGTCAAACTAGCATATATATATATATATATATATATATATATATGTCACTCTTTTAACTAATTAAATCCTTTAAAAACTATAAGAGATCATCAGAAATAATGAAAACCAAATATAGCTATACAAATGCCATAAGAGATGCAACAGAAGCACATTATAAAAGATTAAGTATATACAGACATTTTTAATTTTATGACATTTTTTTGAAAAATATGAACAAAATTCTGTCATCATTCTATTACAAAAAAGTTACCAAAAAGATATGCATACCCAACTCTTGAATAATCAAAAAGACAAAAATTCTGAGACCAAATATTATAATAATTAAATTACATTGATTTAATTTAACCTCATCCATTCTAGGAAGAAAGAAAACATACCTTATCCCTATACACAGTCATACTAGACTGGGTTGTGGATTAGATCAGTGTTCCCAAGGTGGGCAGCACATCATGGCTGTTGTGCATTCTGGGAACCAAAAGTCCCTCCCTTTTCAGTCTGCTTGAAACAGTGGTGGTGGGGCCAGAATCCTACTCTAATGGCACTCACAGGGGTTTACCAAGGAGCTTGGATCCTGACTGGTGTCCCAGGCCCGTGAGCCGCGAAGGCCTCTCTCTTGCGGGGCTGGGGCTCAGAAGGGACCCTGCAGCCAGGCTGGGTCCCCTTTGTTCCTCTCCATTCCATAGCTCTGGATGCTTTCTCCTCCACATTCCACAGCTAGGAAATGTCTTGGTCTGCCTCTGGACCATGGCAGCCTGCCTTGGTCTCAGCAGCAGCCTCGTCAGCTTCCCAGCAGTCCTGTGCTTTCTCCTTCAGAAAACCCGTCAGTGATGCACTGGATGGTCCTGAGCATTACAGCACAGGCAGGGATGGACTCCACACACAGGTAATTCCCACACTAGAATGGGAAACATTCAGCCAGCACCTCCATGTAGTAGAAAAGGAGAAGAGAAGACAGCAGGAGAGATTGTGAACCCTTTCTCGTTGCTTTTTCAGCTGACAATGGGACTAGTGGTGTGGGACCCTGGGAGCCTGCATCCCTCTTCTGCCCCACTGATGGCTACACCCAACTCAGGTATTCATCCATCAGCCTGTAGAGCCCTGTGGCCTCAGAAGAGGGTCCAGGAGCAATGGTTCTGGATCTCAGCAGATGTTTTCAGCTCCGCTGAGTTTTTCAGGAGGGCATGGGCAGCCATTCTGGAGGCCATGCAACCACCATGGCACATTATCGCTACCTCTTCACCAGCAGCAATGCAGAGTCCAGCAACTGCGGGTACCATGGCAGCATGGCCAGCAGCGCTTGGATCTTCCTCCCCTTGCCCTTGACTGGGTCCCAGACCTTCATTTGGAGTGAGTCCATGGTTCTGGTCAGCTAGTAAGATTTCCAGGCACTTACTGATAGCCTTGGAGGCAAAGCCATGATTAAAATGCAGATCTGCAAAAACCCTTTCCAGGACTTTCGGATTGCTGGGTGACTCCCAAATGTACAGAGTCAACTCTACTCTGGGCCTTATTGCACTGAAGCTTGTGACACGGTCCCATGCCAAGCCATCCCTCAACGCTTGTGCATGGGTGACCCATGCAGTGCCCTGGGCCACGACAGCATTGTGGGTCAGGAACCCGGCAGACAGGAGCTGAAGACACTAAGGTTGTCATAGCGTCCATGCTCTGAGATTTGATCTCACTGGCATGGGTATGGCCTAGGCATGGCTGCCTCCAAGCAGATCAAGGCAGCTGCAGGGCACCATGATCTTGCCAGGCACTGCCAGTAAATTCCCCGGGTGCAGGAAGTGGGTGCTGCAGGCCTGGTCCATGAGACTCCCTGCTCCTGCTCCCTGTCCAGGCCTGCTTCTGCCACTGGCCTCATTGCCAGTGGCTGTTTCCTGAAGCGGATTCACTGTTAGGAATGGCGCTTTAATTTGTTTGCTGCAGACATTGTTAAGTTCAAAGAACCTGAGCAACTAAAATGGTGAAACCCTCCCGACTCAGGAAGAGGTAGCACTCTCTTGTGCTTTTCATCCCTTTCTTGAAGATGTCTCTCAGACTTGTTTCCTTTGAACAAGATAAGATTCCTTTTTTTTTTTTTTTGCTACATTTTATGTTTTCAGATGGGATTGTAGCTTTTGTTTTACAAATACATGGCTCCTGGCAAGAGCTAGTAGTGGGAGAATTGGAGATTGGTAAGATCCTTTTCCATGCTAATTTAGTAAAGTAGAAATCAACAGGAAGGCAGATGTCAGTTAAGGAGTTTGACTGAAAATATTTTATTTTCCAAATGTAAGAAGATTATTTGTTTATCTTCAGTAAAAGAACAACCAGTTGACTCAAGCAGATACAGTGCTTGTAACTCTCTAGATCTCAAGTGGTGGATTCAGTATTCATTTGTTGTGCTTCTATCTCAACATATCAACTATAATCTTTTGTATCCATTATTAAATAAGAATGTAAAATGAACTCAATGAGAGGACAGTTAGTTTAGATGTTTGGTCTTTACAAAAGAGAAATAAGTACAAGAAAAGTAAGCATTACCTGCTGAAAGTATATATTTATTATTCATGAATGATCCAAAACTTGAAAGACCATATTTTTTATATAACCACATATGTGAATTACCACTTAGGAACTTGGAGTAAAAAGGAAAGTTATATATTTATGTTAAAAATTCACATAAAAGTACTGTTGTGAGCACCTACTGCCATGTAGCTCAACAGTAGCAAGTGCGACATATGACTTATCAGTCACAGGGAAGAAAGGGACACCAGGACACAATACTATTTTTCCAAGGAGAGATTTTATTATTCACACACCGGGACACACCAGGGGTTTTTTATCACACCACTCATCAGCATGCCCATTGAGGTCAATACTCTTATTAGTATCAATATACTTATCAATCTGTCCTCTTTAATACACTTATCACTAAACTTAACACTACTATTTAAGGTGACTTAAATGGTTAACTACTTAACTTAACCACTTAACTACCTGACTTAACCACTTAACTACTTAACTACATCTACTCAATCTTAACAATATCACTTGTCTGCCAGGCCATCAATATTATACCACAAGTCATAACAAACACTATTAAAATAATCTTAAGTACTATCACAATGAACACTACAAGCACAGCAAAAGAGTGATAACATTGGTTTGCTATGTATCTAGGCTCGCATCACTGTCACGAATGTGCTTCTCCTGCGGGGAGTGTCCAGTGTCCAGAGTTCAGTGTCCCAGCAGGGACGGAACTCGGACCAGTCACTTACAGGAGGGAAGTCGTGGCAAGGTTATCACTCTGGGCAGTAGGCTCAAGCTTCCAGGCAGATGGCAGGCGAGAAGTTGGAGAGGTCCCCTGCTGAGAGGCCTGGCCCAGCTCTGCGGGCTCTGCGGTCAACTCTAGCAGCAGGCTGATAAGGCGAGGGGGTGAGGCGGCAGCTCCACTGGTCAGACAGCAGCTGGGCAGCAACGCAGCAGCTCCAGATGGCCTCTTGATCCCGTCGTCACCTTTCGCCACGCAGCAAAAGCTAGGAGGCTGGCTCTTTGACTCTACGTGTGAGGAGATCCAGAGGTTCGCTCACACTGGGCCACGCACACACACACACACACACTCACACAGACAGTGGTGTTACAGCTCAGGGACAGATCTGCAGGTCGGCTTGTGCTGCTACCTGCTCCGTGCGGAGTAGCAGGCTGCCCCTTCAGCTCCAGATGTGTGGAGATCCAGAGGTTCACACACACCGGGCCATGGTCCCCGAGAGGATGAAGAGTGGTGCAAGGGCTCCCTTTCTATCCTCATTTTCGGCAGTTCTCCAGCTTGCCATCCTCCAACTTGTCCAATCAATGCTGGTTCCTCCTTGCTTATGTTTGAACTGTCCAGTCAGCGTGGGTAGGAGGGTATTGTCCATAGCACACTGCTATCTGACTGACCAGAGATGTCTGTTTGGTATGAATGGGAGTGTCTCCCTAAAAGCCGTTAGGCATTGCCTTAGCTCCTGACTTATAACTCCACTTTACTTTTAATTTGTGGCTAGTGGTAACTTCTTAACTCAATGTTTTACTGTGTTTCTACAGTTCATCTCCTCTTCAGGTAAGTGGTGATCTGTGACTCTTTTTGAGATTCCTGTGGGATTCCCCACAAGTACATAATTCTCTTTTTCAAGTACTCACCATACCTTACTACAGAAGAAGGACTAAGGCCATAGAAGTACAAATATATAAAACACACTGAAATATCAAATATTTTTATCTAAGCTCAAGCAAAGCATATAATGAACTGCAATGATTTTCATACTATTTGACTCAAAAAACATAAACAGCTTAACAGCTGCAAAAATCTTGAAAATATGAAATTTATTTGGTAAGATAATGTATTTCATTAATTTCATTTATTTTATTCTGGCTCTCATATTTCTAAGAATTTTATTTCATGATTACCAAGTTGTAAATTAAGCTAGAATGAATGCATGACAATATCTGTATCTAGAGACATTTGTAATTTGTACTCTGAAATTCTGAACAAGTTAAAGGGATTTAAATAATCAAAAAAAAAAAAAAAAACTAAAGGAAGGGCCTAGTGGTGGAGCAGGTACAGCCACCATTTGTGATGCCAGGATACCCTATGGATGCCAGTTTGTGTCCTGGCTGCTCTCTTCTGATCCAACTCCCTGCTAATGGCCTAAGAAAGAAGATAAACGTTGCCCAGGTGTTGGGATTCTGCCACACATGCAAAAGACCCCGAGGAAGCTCTTGGCTCTTGTCTTCAGCCTGGTCCATCCCTGGTCATTGAGTCCATTAGAGAAGTAAATCAGCAGGTGGAAGCTTTCTCTCTTTTTGTGTCTCTCCCTCTCTCTGTAACTTTCAAATAAATAGATAAATAGACCCTAATAAAAAGGATACAATGAGCAACAGTTATTTTTTCCAATCATATATATATAATGCTTTATTAAAAAACATTATCAGAGTTGGAAATATGAGGTTAATTTTATTCTCATACACTATTGGTAAATGAAATGAATACATTCCTTCAGATGGTAATTTAGTAAGATATATTCAAATTTGAAACATAGCATCCTTTTTATCTTGTAAGAATTTCACTGGACTTAGATCCTTCACAAAATATTGGATATTGTGAAATCATGTAAACACCTATGATAAGAACATTTCTAATGTATTAAATGTATCATATATAAAGCATAATGGGAGTAGTTCCTACAAAATAACAGACTATTTATGAGATTTCTGGGTTTTGTTTCCAATGCACAAATGCTCAAATGATAGACATTTAAATTAATTTATTGAGGGCTTGACTACAATGTTACATACTGTTCAAATTTTTTTCTGAATGTTGGCTAAAACCTATTAAAACATATTCAAAGATTTTTATCTTAACCTAGTGTTGGCAAACTTTTCTATACAGAGTCAAGTAGAAATTATTTTAGACTTTATGGACCATAATATCTTTGCTGTCATCTAAAATATGTGTAAGCTGTAGGTAAATAGATGGAGTTGTATTCCAATAAAACTATTCACAAAAACAGAAAGGAGCTGGATTTAGCCCACAGAAACTACTAACACACTGAACCATACTTTTCAGAATATCATGCATACATGCCATTACTCATTTTAAAGATATTGTATTCCAGTGCTTGTCACACCATTATATAAAGAGGCAATAAAAATAAAACTTTCAGGGCCGGCACTGTGGCATAGCAGGTAAAACCGCTGCCTGTAGTGCCAGCATCCCACATGGGCACTTGTTTGAGTCCCCAATAATCCACAATTCTAACACTTGCCTACAACTTGGGTACTGACTAATAATATACACTGGTGACAGTTATAAAATCAAATAAAAATCAATGAAAAGTAATGTTCATATCACTGTATAAATCATGATTAGACTAGAACTGAGCAATTTGGTAGGAATAATTACCAAGTGGCAACTAAACAAAGAGATTTATTGGAAATAGTCTTTATAATCATATTTTTAAAATGATTGTACAGGAACTTAAGATAAGATAATGTCCCTTTACAGGGCAATCCTCACAGAAAGATTTCCTCATGTAAAATTATGCTATTGAAAATGTCAACAGTAGTGATATATTTGGAGTTCTTTAAAAACTTCCAAACAGCAAAAAATTGTGTAATTCTGATAGCATGAAACAGTACATTGGTGTTAGACAATTCGGAGATACTATGTACAGGGAAGATTCCAAGATAACTTAGAAAATTTCCATGGGGCTGATAAACCTACAATGAAAAAGCCACATACTCAAAGTTCAAGAACCAGGATACCTAATAATTGAAATTTTATCAGGTGATAGCATGAAATTCAGAGGCAAAATAAAAAAGGAATTTAAATGCT